GTGCGTGTATTGTGTGGTGGCTGGTGCGGTGTTGTTTTCATTTTGTGTTGTGTGGTGTTGCACGGTGTGGGCGAATGTGTGAGTGTGTGGTTGTTTGCATGTGACAGGTGTTCGTGTGCCTGGATTGGCGCATAGGATGTTGATGGTTGTGTGTGGTGATTGTGATTGTTGGGAGTTGACAAGCGGTGAGTCCATCTGTGAGGTTTCCGTGGTGTAGTGGTCATCACGTCTGTCTAACACACAGAAGGTCCCCAGTTCGAGCCTGGGCGGAAACACCTGCCTTTTAACGTGACATCACACTCCGAATTACTCACACGTGCATTCACCACCACAAACACAACAACAATCCGACCAATTAAACATGCACCACTTTCACTTACAAGCAACCGCCAGGCACACACACTCTCACATCACCCTCTCTCATTCCCCCTCTCTCTCTCACTCTCTGCATTCCCGAACACCTAGAGGCCTTCCTTTCTGCTCTGCCCTACATCCGTCATCTCATGCAGACCACTCGATACTCTTAGTCATCTCCGAATACCCGTCATCACTGTCTCATCGAGAGTCGTCAGTCGCCGTCTCTTCATGTCTTAGCTGATTGGCCAACACGTAAGTGTCACACGTTGTTTCTTCACTTCTCTCCGGAGTGTCCACATCGCGATTCAGGCGATTGCATGAATCCACTCGTCCCGTATTATTTCTACTCGTGGTTAATGTGGTCAGCATATGGACAAGAGATACACTTCATAATCACTTCAGTTTCCGTCGACCACAAACACCACTTCCACCCCACCACGAAACATCCCTCATCTTACTTACTCCGCCTAATCCCAGTCCTCAGAATACGCCTCCAAATACAAGTCGAAAATCAACTTCATCCGAAACTGGAATTCTCCTTGTGCAACATCGCCCTCCTCACCACCTCCGTCTCTTGATTCCACATCCCCTCATCTCTATAGTCGCCCGAAAATTCATAAATTCGGACTACTACATCATCTGAATTTAGACATGCCAGGTTCATCGTATCATTATGTCACCAAGTGGAACTATTAAGAAGGCAAATCTGTAGCTAATCTTTGCATGATACTTTTATTGATTGTATTGATTATATTAAAGTTACCGGAAAAAGTCTGATGTATGCTCGATGTTTACTAATGTTTCATTAAATGAAATAGTATGTTTCATTTGTAATTACATCAACTTACATAATGTGAAAATAAGATTGTCTGCATCATGCTTAAAAGGGTTCATTCTTCGGTATACAATGATTGTGTCACATAGGTTCTCCATTTGGTCCTTTGCTAACAGATTTCTTTTGGGTCAGTGTGGAAAGCAGTGCAGTACTCTTGCACCTGTTGTTAAGACGCTGAACTTTTTATTCAAAAGATACTTGAATGACACATGTATCATATGTGATGAGAACTGCGATTTGGAAGATATCCTGAAAATATTCAGTCATAGTCATGCTGTTATCCGTTTCATAGATTTCTTATGTATATTTACAACATGAGTACAGGGAAGAGTTCATCATGAATTGACATTGTCTTGAAGAATTATGTTGAAATGAAAGTGTTCTGTTTTATTTGTTGTAGCGAACAATTGACAATTTCCAGGATGACTTTACCTGACCCAAACTGGTAATCTTTTCAAGAAGATACACAAATTAATATTGAAAACACGTATTTCTAAATGAGTCAGATGAGAGGTACTATAATTATATATATATATATATATATAATAATGTCAGTATAAATACAAAAAGTGTCACGGACTAATTAAATGCTACAACATTGGGCCGATTAGTAAGCGTCTATCAGCCTGGTGAAATCTGATTGGTTAGTTATCCGGTCAACGCATAGGTAATCAATATTTATACTATTTAAATTCTGACTGACAGACTATTAAGCTAGGCTATAGTTACACATGGTGCGTCGGTGCTACAGCGGTAGAAAGCTCGCCAAATCACGCAAGTGGCTCGGGGTTTCAGCCCCAGCCACCAACGCTAAGCCAGTAATAAGACTTGTAAAGAGGAAAGGTTGGGCATGAGGCTAGCAACCCCATCCCGTAAAAATAAACATCACTGCTACAGAAACTTCAAGCCTCTAGCTTGAAGCCTTATGTTCTATTGGGGACGTAAAAGGAACAAAAAAATAGTTACACATTACAGAAGAATAGAATTAAGAGTTACATATTAATTTGCTGGAGTTCTTATTGAGTTGGTAGGCGTTGATAGTCAGAATGACCTGAATAGGTGTTTCAGATAGAGGTGGTATAAACATCGAACGGCCGTTTCACTCACTTAGGGTGTAACTCATCATGTGTGCAGCTGGTGTGACTCTGCTCCGGGAGCCAAATTAGTTCACTCCATATTGGTTGCTAACTTTCAATGTTTTTTAGTTAGCTGGTTAGGCTGAAGTTTCACAGTCAAGCATTCACACCATTCGGCAGACTGTCTTGTTACGTTCGTTTGTTTGTTCCTTCGTTCGTGTACTATCCCCAGTAAGCAAAGCAGTTATCGGTGCTTCACGATTCTGATCTTTGAAATGTATCTCGTATTTCGAATTATCATTCTGGTTTTTGAATAAAGCAAGAACAACAGTGGTTTGTGCAAAATAAGATGGTACCATCATTTATTTCGTTGGCTTCTCATCAGCTGCTTACAGCCTAAATAAATTATGAGGTTTGCCTACAGAAAAGTTTTAACATACTTGCAAATTTTACATGTTGTCAGTCGACAAATGTTCCACAATAAGTGAAAAGGACTCAGAAAATTGCGCTTATATAGTTTTTGCACAGGCAGTTCAAGTTTAAAGAAAAGATATGCGTTAGATACAGAGTGGCTAAAAAATTAGGTAACAATGTACTGAGTTCAACTCAAATCATAGAAACAAGAGACAAGCAAAATTACAGATTATAAAAGGGGGTGAGGTTAAAGACAAAGATTACGCAATCAGAGTAGAGAATAAGGAAATTCAGTTACCATAGCAAGGAAAGACTAATAACTGCTTCTCTCTGAACACATAAATATGGTTTCAAGCGTTTGATAGAAATTGCTTCGGCAAACTTGAGGAGAATAGAACTCCCTTGTCTATTGATAATTTTAAAGGATTTCTCGATTTCCACCTCATGACCCGCGCCTTATAGATGATTTTAAAGGCGGAGGCAAAGAGTAATTTACCCAAATCCCTACGTACCCAACTCATCTGTATTGCTGAAGCTTTGGCTATCGAAACAGAAAAGCCAGATTTCTGTGTACAAAAACGTTCGCTCAACCCCTCCATCTTTCATGGTCTTAATCCCTCTATGCTGACGCATAGTAATCCCCAATCATATTTTAGCTCTACCAATTTTTCATTTTTTTCATTTTGTCTATTCAATTTGTATTCTCTTCCTTTATTACGTCAATTGTTACTATTACTATTCCTACTTTCAACTGTCCCCGGTATTATTTCACTTGTTCCACTTGTCATTCTAAATCAATTCTGTTTTGCAACATTAAATTCTATGCTATCAAATTTCACACAATGTTACGTAACGTTTTTATTTTATTCGATTTGTCTACTAATCCTATAACTGCACACCCTTCCAAGTTCTATACATCCTATGAATTATTCTACATATATGACATTAATTGTTTTGCCACTTGACATTTAACTATGATTATAATCACAAACATTTTAGTTTTAATTGCATTTCATATTATATTATTATTATTTTATGCATTCACACCTATGATTCAATTCCTCACCGATATAACTTCTTAATATAAAATCCATATATATATACGATTGTACAGCTTGATGATAAATTCGTTGTTGAAAAGAGTCTCTTCGCTGAATCCCAACTTGTTTTGATTCATGATATCAACCACATCGCATATAAATATTTGTCATCTGTGGTCATTTATTACCCAGATCTGCGTAAATTGCCAAGATGCAAAGTTGATTCGATGAAAAGCGATCTTTGACTACAAAATCAATCGATAATCAGTATTGATTTTGTGCGATATCAGTATGAAATGGTCTACTTCCATATTGTGATTTATTAGTTTCTTTGAGCAGTACTCAAAACTAGTAGTAATAATAATAATATCATTATTAATAACGGAATGTTGGGGTACAGACCACGTGATCTTTATAAGTTTAAAATGCTTTAAGCTAATGGAGAAATGATAATGAAACTGACCGAGTACTAATCATTACAAAAAATGTCAATATACACAGGGCGGATAAGAAAATAATGACAGTTAACAAGAGGACACTGCTTGCTTACGCAGCAACAAAAAATTAGGGAGTAAATGCGGAATAACTTTTTCTAATGCATAATATGTCAAATAGTCGTTTGATGGGTGTTGAGTCAGCGTAGATTATATATATATATATATATATATATATATATATATATATATTCAGAACAAAATATTTAGAGCGAACAATTGTTTTCAATAAATTCTTCTTCAGGCTCTACAATTATAAATCCATTAATTTAAGCATACAATAGCCAGTAAAGGCAAATTAGAATCATATCAGAAAGTGTATTGTGGAACAAGTATAAGATGAGATGGAACAATAGTCAGATAGTTTTTTAATATGCATGGTCAATGAGAACATGGGACAAAATCAGATGAAGTAATTTAATTTAATGATGTTGTGTATATATATAAATATAGTCAACAGAAAATACAGGTTTCGAGAGTGTGTGTAATCAGGGTGTGTGAGACAATATGAAAATAAACCAACGAATGGGGCGGACTAGACATAAGTTCAAGGTTGAAAATAACGACAATAAGAATGATTGTTAAAATAATAACGATGATATGGTGTAAAATTACAAGCACTATTGGTGAATGATTGTCAAATAATAATAATGAATATAATGAAGTGGAATGAACAGGATTTTGTAAATACGATAGCAAGTTAGAAAAGCACTATTTAAACCTAAGGTAATAAAATCATAAGAAAGGTCATGAAATCATAAAAGTCGAAAATGAACGTTTGTCAATGAAACAGAGGAATAGAAGAAGAAGAAAAGAAAATTGTGAAAGGAATTTATAGTGTTAATGGAGGATTTGTTGGCTTTATTGTAGGCCAAGGTAAACATAGTGGTTGAACATACTTCTTCTGTATGCAAAGAGATGGTCTTCTGGTATTAATTGCCACCGCTTCAGCTACTGATAGAAGACGTAGTCGAGCTCCTCTAGATAAATTACTAGGAACGCGGTAAATAACTGAGAACGCCTGGTCAAGTTTTATCGGGTGTCCAGTATCTACCAAGTGGGCTAAGACTGCACTATTTACACATTTGGTTACTCCTTTACTCAACCATACAGGTACATGTTCACGCGCGCGCATGGATAAAGCCCTCTGAGTACGGCCAATGTAACTAGCTCCACATGAGCAGTTGAATTCATAGATGCACATTGATGAGGCCATCTTTGGTAATTTATCCTTTACTTGCTGTGTGAGTACTGGTTTAGTTGAGAAGTTGAGTACCAGTTTAGCTGCAGGAAATGTTCTATCTACTGCTCTATTAAGTCGACATTTTAGAATGTCAGCTGCAATTTCCCCTTTGTAACTTAACTTAAGATACAAAGGTTTCTTTTCTACGGTAGGTAGGTATTGACATATACTTTTTTAGGAAGCTCTGTGGATATCCATTTTCTTGCAGTGTGAGTTTCAGTTTATGCATTTCTTCCTTAATGCATTCCTCTGAACATATACGTTTTATTCTATAGCTTAGACACTTAACTAAGTTTCTTTTGTACTGAATCGGTGCGAAGCTATGGAAATGGGTGTACTGACCCGTCCAAGTTTTCTTTCTAAATAGTTTCCTTTGTAGATATCCGTCTGTCTTCATGGTAAGGAGGACGTCTAGGAAAGGTAAACTGTTATTGTCTTCTTCTTCACATGTAAACTGAATAGTTGGGTGAACACTATTAACAGCATTTAGAAGCTCTTGTTTATTAAGATTTATATCACAAACGATAAAGGTATCATCTACGTATCGACAATAATAGTCAAACCCTTTAATCGTGTCTTTAAGTGGACCGTTTTCAAGCTTTGCCAGGAAAATATCCGCTAGCATAGGGCCCAGAGGTGATCCCATGGCTACACCATCAACTTGTCTATAAAAACCATTATTGAACATAAACTGAACATTCATATATGACAGTGACACGTGAGAGACGATCCATAGTGGATAACTCAGAAAAACATTCGGAGTGAATACAGGAGTAAGACAAGGCCGGCTGCCTACTATCACCCATGATGATATTTCTAATTGTGGTGGACTGGATGCGTCTGACAGGAATACGTTTTACAGATAAGAAGATTCTAGAAGATCTGGATTTCGCGCGCGGATGATTTATGCCAACTAATGTCACACAAACTCAAAGACCCGCAGGCGGAAACCAACAAACTGGCTGAAGAGACTGGCTGGCAGAGAAGTCCGGTGGACTCCAGGTGAACATAGTGAAGATGGAGACGAAGGTGATGAAGATAACCAACCACCATGAACAGCAACAAAAACCAGCAACAATCACCATCAGCAGGAGAGATTTAACAGAAGTCACTTCCTGCATTCACTTATTTCGCCAGGAAGCATACTTTCAACGACAGGGGCACATGGCACGAATGAAGATGTCAACACCAGCCAGCCAGTCAGCCAGAGTGGATCGGAAAGGTAAGATACGCCTTCATCAGCCTGAAACCAGTTTGCAAATCGTCTGCCTCACTCACTCAGCCAACCAGCATAAACAACAAGATTTGGATTCGATTCAACACAAATGTCAGTGAAATCAGTCTGAGAAACTTGCACTGCGCATGCATCACGAAACGGATTTCCAACAAGTCACTTCAAGCTTCTATCAACAACTGACAACTTCGCTGGCTAGCTCCATACTCAACATCAAATGGCCAGCTGGCTGGCTGTCTGGCCAGAAAGAATTAGCAACAAGAGACTGTACAGTGAGAGCCGATTGTTCAACAAATATGTAGGAGAAAATGGAGATGGTTTGATCAGGAATACGTTGAAGATGCCGTGGAATGACATCGCGTACAATCTAGGCTATCTATCAGTCGAGTAGAATCCGAATGTGAAGTGACAAGTTGGTGGTGGGTGTGACGGTGACATGGAGAAGATGGTGTGTGTGTGAGGGGGGGGAGCAGGAGATGAGGGATTATAAGAAATTATCGAGTCAGCCAGGTAAAGAGAGGACAGTAGAGAACAGAAGAAAGTGTAGATGTGATGTTGAAGCCGTATTTTCCACTTGGAACACAATGGAATTACAATAATATTAATTGTCTTTATTGACTTCAGCAGTGCATCTCTATTGCATCCTCTTCTCTATAGTTCTGTGTAGCTGTCTGCACGATTGCCCATAGGCACTGATCTCCAACTTGTACAGTCCCCTACATGCTGAACACCTTGTTTCTCATTCGGGTCCCACTAGAAGACATAGTGTGTTATGCCTCCCAAAGGTCTCCTCAGAGTGTGTCCTATCCGTCTCCATTTCCTTCTACTTATTTGTTGGGCGATTTTTGTTGGTTGGTTCATCTCCAGACTTCCTTGTTGGTAATAATTTTTTTATCATCTGACCTTCAGTATGGAGTTAAGACAACTCTAAACTATAGCAGCCCAAACGGAAACTACCTAGCGAACGGACAAATGACCTTGACAAGGACAACGTTGACCAATCAGAAGGCTCAAAAAAACGGCGCATAATTGTAATAAATCGTTTATATAAAAGTAATGCAATGTTAAAAAATAGTTACAAAGGATAACGTTCTCGTATATGTTCCAAAAGAAACCTCCCAATTTCTCATAGGAGTCTTCATACTCATGTTAAACCAAGTTCTGTACATAAAATCATCCAGATAACTGTATATCATTGGATTTCTTGATCCATTCACCGATTTGATCCGTTTTTTTAGGTGACTCCAAAAACTTTCGATGGAATTAGTGTGAGTTCCATCAAAAGGATTGAGAAAACCACTTGTGTGGTTGACGACATGATGAATATAGCCGAGATTTGATAACTGACCGTAACTACTCCATTCATCTGTATGAATAGTCGTCCCAGGCAGCACTAATCCTTGGATGATAGGTAATAATACATTAGCACTCCGATTAGGGATCGCTTCAATGTATCCTTTGCGGAGGGTGGTGTCATAGATCCCCAATATCCATTGCTGATTTGCGCTTAATCTGCCTCAATTATATTTCCTTTTGATTAACACGGTCTCATCAACATGAACGATGACGCCAACTCCTCCAAGTACTTGAGTCAGCGTGTTCATTTTCCAGGATGATACGTCTCTGCAGTAGTGGTACCATTGCACTGCAGACACTTCTGAATTTTCTGTTTCGTAAGCTGTTGCTGTAACTGGTCTTTTCAGTAACCAGAAATGACAGATCATTAAAATTTTTGTTAAAGGTAATTTAGACTTTGAGAAAAAAGTGCCTAAGGAATCTGTAAACTAAAAAAGAACGATATACCTTCTCGAACTGATTTTTTGCTTCGGCACTCACTGCACCTGTACACAAACCCATCAATGCAGTTTGTGTATCTTTGTATATGCATGACACCTCCACATTGACAAATTTTTGACCTTCCAATCAGTCCGTTCTCCAAACACTAATCAAAAACTAGATCTGGAGCGAATTTGCAACGCAAAAGGTGTAGAGCATCCATAATTACCTCTGGATAAAAAAGGAATCACCTGATTGGTTGCTCAAGGTCATTTGTCCGTTCGCAAGGTAGTTTCGGTTTGGGCTGCTATAGTTTAGAGTTACCAAAATACCTTTCGTGACTCCCCAAATCTATGGACCATAAAAAGAACCGACTGATTTGACATTAGTGTTATAAATCCGATTGTTGCTCTTTATGTTGAATGCAGAACAATTTTACAGTGGTGTCAGCACAATGAATGTCTTTCATGATTTTTCAGTCCTGTCTTTGACATCCACACCCACATGCCGTCTGCGTGTATTTTAAGTGATACTACTTAGATAGGTGAAAGAAAATGCCTCCTTCGAATTCCCCATGTTAATTGTGATTCGTTTTTGGCCTTTTTTGTTTTTTTCGACCGTTATTTCCTAATGCTTATTTCCATTTCCTTCAAGGTTTCTCTGATTTTCCGTTGTGTATCACTTGACATTTGGTGTTATCATATAACTGTTGAATGAGACTGATGAATATATTTTGGTCTCTCCATAGGATTCAAGTAGTTCCAAAATTACTTCATGGCTATCCCTATTGAAGGCCTATCCATAGTCGGTGAAAGTGAGTTAGACATTCAACTACCATTCTATGCTTTCTTCGTTAATGATGTGTGTAGAGTTGCTATTTGACTCGCACACCATTTGCTTTCTCTGAATCCTGCTCATTCCGAGTAGAATTTTGCATGCAAAGCATATTGACACAACCTAATATTTTGCTTGGTGCAGACAGGGGTTTGATTCTGCGCGCGTTATTCCAACAGCTTAAGTAATCCTTCTTTGATAGCTTGACAAGGTAGCCTTTCTTCTTCTTGCGGAAGAATTCAGTCCGTATGATCCTGCTACCATCCCTCATGAATATATATGTGATGATTGGAATATATAAACCCTAAACTGTGATTTGTCTAAGGAAAATGTCGTCAAATACACTGTTTCTGTGCGTCAATAGAAAAAGCCAAAAAACCGTGTCTAAGGTGATACACGATCACGAATGGCCGAATATACAGATCAAAAGGAATGGTAAGATTCTAGTTGAACAGTGTTAAGCAAAGAGAAGGACATAGAGAAGAAGAAATGCACAGTAGAACACCGTTTGACTACATGAAAATAATCATGCCAGACTAAAATGTAGATTGTACACACAGGAAGTGTGATAAATTCCGATGAAAATCAATAACTATGCTTACAAAGTAACGCAGTCATAGAATTGTACTACTTATTACTAGCAAGTAGTATAAATTTAAACAGGAAAGAAAATAGTAATGAGGTATGGATAGGAAACGAATTGACAGGGCATCTGAATGGAGTTATATGAAGTGAGCATTATTCACTGGGTATACGCCTCCTGTAATTGGTCTAGTCCTCAGTAGTCTTGGTGATGGCTAAATCCTGTCATTCAGTTATGCACTTTAGTCACCGATCTAACAAACTCTCCATCGTAGGTAGTGTACTTTAATTTCTTTTTATATGGTGGGAGACAATCGCCAGGTGAATACATAACCACTTCGCATAATCCCGCAGGATATCGTTGGTGCCACCATATATATATCAGGGCTAGTGTCTCTGACCTCAGAACTGTATGATGCGGCTGTATCCCATAATGTCAATACACCCCTCATAACTTCTGCTAATAATCACGAAACGTAGTTCCAC